CTCAAAGTATTTTTAAGATACAGCCTTTTATCTCTGGAAGCACCAGAAAGTATTTGCAGATTGGTCCCGGGAATCAAATTAGCCTAGCACATTGGTGAGTTCCTGGAGACGTGGGCATTTCTGTAAGTGGTTCCTAGCCTCTTAATCCTTTTGATCATTTGCACTGTGTATTTTTACACAGACTCTTGTACTTTGGAGAAATAAAATAAAGAAACTTAAAGGTGAGTTTGATGAGGGCTTCTCCCCACTGTTTGTCAATGCAGATGGATCTTGAATTTTAATGGTAGCAGTTTCTTTTAAACCACCAAGCTTCTTTAAACCTCTCCACAAATAATGTCCTTGCTTAGATTATGTCTGAAAATGTTTATGGAAATCTTTCCTGACCCCATATTCCTACCACAAAAGAAGAGCCTAATCCTGTAAAATAGTCTTGACAGCCTGGATGTCAATTACTCCACAGCTGTTATTTCTCATATAGGGCCACTGCCTATATGACATTTGCAGCCACTTGCTGACTTCAGCGGTCTACAGTCAGGAGCCTGGCTTACGGGCATAGAATGAGCACCTCACTAGATCCTGCTGCTTATTGGCTGTGGGATGTTGTGTGAGAAAACTTGTGGAGAGGACTTAGTTGTCTTACCTTTAAATGGGGACTGCATCTCTCTTATAAAATTGTTGTGAGACATATTTGTATGCCCATGTTTATAGCAGCGTTATTCTCAGTAGCCAAAAGGTGGAAGCAACCCAAATGTCCATTGGCAGATGAATGGATAAGTCAAATGTGGCATATCCATATACTGGAATATTACTCATTCTAAGAATGAGGGAGGAAATTCTGACACTTGCTGCAACATGGGTGAACCTTGAGGATTGTGCTAAGTGAAAATTGCACTTTTCTGAAGTGTCTAGAGTGGTCAAATTTCACAGAAACAGAAGTGGAATGGTTGCCGGGGGTTGTGGGTAGGAGAGAAACGGGGAATTAGTGTTCAGCGGATACAGTTTCAGGCTTGCAAGGTGAAAGAAGTTCTGGAGATGCATGGTGGTTGACAGTAGCACAACGGTGTGAATGTAGTTTATGCCACCAAACTGTGCACATGAAAGATGGTTAAGATGGTAAAGTTTGCTGTGTGTATTTTCCACAATAGGAAGAACTCGGGAAAAAACTTGTTATGAGCATTAAAGAAGGTCAAATAGGTAAAGTGCCTACTGTTTTATCAGACTTCAGTGAAGGTAACACTTTTTACTAGGGTTAGGACATTGTATTGTAACGGTCACATGATACTTCACCATGAGGTTATACCATAATTGGTTTCTTTAAAAAAATTCTTTTAATGTTTATATATTTTTGAGAGAGACAGAGCATGAGCAGGGAGAGGGACAGAGAGAGAGGGAGACACAGAATCTGAAGCAGGCTCCAGGCTCTGAGCTGTCAGCACAGAGCCTGATGTGGGGCTCGAACTTAGGAACCAAGAGATCATGACCTGAGCTGAAGTCAGACGCTTAACTGACTGAGTCACCCAAGTGCCCCAATTGGTTTCTTTTTTTATTTGACTTTTGGATATCTTACAGTACTCCAGCATTGTAATGATGGAGTAAAAAAAAAATTTTTTTTTGCATGTACATATCTTTTCCATTATTTGGGGTTGTATCTTTGAGATAGATTTTCTGTATCACTTAGTGGAGGTGAGTTAATCTTTGTGGCTCTTGATACATATGCCTGTGGGAGTTGGTCATTTATACTGTCACCAGCCAAGTAAAGATGCCAGTTTCATAGTCTCCTCATCAGCGCTAGTTACGCTTTTAAGCAGTTTTATAAAATGTAATGCGAGATGGTATGTTCATGTTTCAATATGCCTTTATTTGCTTTTATCACTAAAAATGTGGAGCATTTTTCAATCTTGACTTACATTTATTTCTTCTTACATGCACTGCCTGTTTACATCTTTTACCTGTATTTCTAGTGTGGTTTTCTATGCTTTTGTTACCAAATATATTTATCATAATTGTTACACATTGTTGCTACTTTTAATATTTAGAGAGTTTAATTTTTATTTAATTAAATCATTCACTTAAACATTTCAAAATACAAAATAATAATACGATTTTAAAGTAGGATCAAAAGTGGTTTATAATAACATTATTATACTTAATGTATCTTCTTCCCATAATTCTCCCATAATTCTTTTCATATCTGTTTGTATAAAATCTGTCTTTTGCTTACTTACATGCCTATAGTATTTGAATTGAAATTATGTAAGATGACCAATTCATTTAAATATAAATACATTTTTATTTATTTATTCATTTATTTATTTATTTTTAAGTGTTTATTTTTGAGAGGGAGAGAGAGCACAAGCAAGTGTAGGGCAGAGAGAGACAGACAAAAGGTCTAAAGTGGGCTCTGCATTGACAGCAGTGAGCCTGATGTGGGGCTTGAACCCATGAACCATGAGATCACAGCCTGAGCTGAAGTTGGATGCTTAACTGACTGAGCCACTGAGGTGCCCCTAAATATCTTTTTAAAAAATAATAAGAAAAATAAAAATATAACCCAATATAAAAAGGATATTGCCAAAATCAGAGCAAATAAATTAAAGTTATTAATAAACATGACCTTTTTCTTTACCTTACTAATAATTAAATTCATTGAAAATAAACTGATAGGGTACAATTGTCCAATTGGTAAGAGTTAAAAACACTATAATAGTGACTGAGACTGGCCTTAATATACTGCCAATAGGGAGAGAAAATTGGGTCAACTTTACTGAAGCATTTAAGCACTAGATATCAAGAAACTTAAAAATGTTTGTAAACATTGGTTTAGAATTCCCACTTATGTAACTGTGGCTTGAGACAGTCTTGGAAATGTGGAAAGATATTTATGTTGATAGATAAAAATAGGATTCAGTCTAAACTCCAATGACAGGGAGTGATTGAATAATAGTACAACCATCTTTGGAGTGTTATGTAGTCATTATAATGGCTTTTTCTAAAAATTTTAGTGATATGGGGACAAACAATATGCTGGTATGTAAAAGAAAAGCGTGATGACAAGATTACAATAAAGCAAATTGTACATGGTGTGGTGGTGGTGTGTGTGTATGAGCACATGTGCACTTGTCTGTATTTGGTACATATCCAGAAAGAATTGTGTAAAAAATGTTGATAGTACTTATTTTATGTGGTCAGATTACAACACATTATTTTTTTTTCTTTTTTATACTTCTGCACATTTTCTAAGCTTCATATTATTTGCAAATTATTTCTACCATCAGAAATAAATTTAAATATTAAAAAAAGATTAAAGATAATGAATAGATTTTTATTTTCTTTTTCTGGATTCATGTTCACTTTGCTTTCTTTGCTTTGTTTATTGGACAGAATCTTGGACAAAACACCAGAAGGTTTTTAGGTTATGGTCCAGAAATTCACTAGCTCTATGTGAATTTGGGGCAAATCTAACTTCTGTGTATCTCAGTTTTCCAATGGTAAAATGGTTGAGAATTAAGGTGAGATTAACAACCTATGGGCAAACACTTTGCAAACTAAGTTGCAAGTTCAAGGGATTCCTGGACCACTGTGTGGTCTGAGAATTTGTTACGACTCAGAGAACTCACTGAGAACAGTTATCCTCAGAGTTACAGTTTATTATAGGGGAAGGGTATGGATCAAAATCAGCCAAAGGAGGAGATGCATAGGGCGGGGTCTAGAAGGGTTCTAGTGCAAAGTTTCTGTGTTATCTTCCGTGCAGTCAGGATGTATTACCCTTCTGGCATCCATGTGTGACAGTATGCAAAAAGTATTGCCAACCAGGAAGCTCACCCATGCTTTGATGTCCAGAGTTGTTATTGGGGCTTTTTTACACAGGCATGATTGATTGATTGCCCACAAGGTTGAATTCTGTCTCTGGGTCAGCTGATGCTGTGTTACCCAAAGACCCTACTCTCGGCACAAGGTTGGTCTGTCTGGCATGACCAGCCCTGAACCTAACTAACACTGTTGGGTATGGCCAACCCTACCCTATGATTCAAAGTGGCCAGCTCCCACCCTAGGACTGTTGGTGTGGCCGGCGCCACTTTAAAGAAGGACATTCCTATCAGGTATGACATAAATTACCTTCCAGAGGCCAAGGCTAAGGCCAGATATCTCTTTGGGCAAAGCTAAATTCTTAACTATGCATAAGGTGACTGGAAAGAGATGGAAAACAAATTTAAATATAGAAATGATATGTATGGAGGCTTCTATCACTACACTCTAACACCGTGAAATAAGGCAGGGTATGAATTCTATAGATACAAGTGCAAATACCCACTTCCCTGATCTACAGAACCTTGGGGACCACCTCTGAGAATGTGCATGCTAACAGAGACACATTTGCTGCAGTGGTTGTTTACCACGAGACGAATTAGACTGAGAAAACACTTACCACCCCGCTGGGTATGTGAACCTGACCCTTGCCTCTGTGTTAACAGCACAGCAAATATGTCCCCCCATTAACGAATTTATCTGATGCAATATAAGCCTGCTTGTTACAGGTTTCTTGATCTGGCACCATCTCATTCTGTTAGTGCAGCAAAACTTACTGCATATAGCACAGTGTGGTGATGATAAAAATAAATTGGCTCATTCCCCTCACAGAGTTTCAAACCATGAGCACTATGTCAGATTGGATGCATAAGGTTTGATAAGAGTGAGATTAAAAAAAAAAGAAAAGAAAACCCAAGTTTGTTTTCTCATGAAATTAAAAAAAATAATTAGAGCACAATGACAAGAAGTCATCATCCTCAGCAAGCTTGCCAGAGGACAACTGTGTGCTCTTATGGAGAAAGAACCAGTGACAGACTTACTATGAAACCATTCGCTAATGTAGTTATGCTCCCACCCTTCCTTCGGAGGAGGGAAGAATTTTAGCCCTTGTCTGGTGATTTTTTGGAAATGAGTAACTTGTAGTAAATTGGTGTTGTCAGTAAATTTTGGTTGTATGTTCTGTTTCTTTCAAGGAAAAACTGGCCATGCAGAAGTAGTCCGAGTGGTGTACCAGCCAGAACGCATCAGCTTTGAGGAACTGCTCAAGGTCTTCTGGGAGAATCATGACCCGACCCAAGGTAGATGAGTGAGCCAGTATTTAATTATCTTACTAATTACAGCTGGGATAATTAGTGTTTGAGCTGCATGGAAGAGATGAACCTTGAAATCACACAGGAGCTCAAGAATATGATTGCAGACATTTATTGACGGAGAAGAGGAGGGGCTGGGGAGCAACCGGGGGGAGAGAATAAAGGCGCAGCCACAGTCTGCACTCCTCCCCCCTTTACAGCTGTCAGGGGTGGGAAAATTCCCACAGAGAAAGACGCCAGACAATAGAGATTCGTTCACCTTTGATTATTGCATTATTCCTCCTTAATGCAGTCTTTTGTCTACAAAATTAAAGTGTCTTTCTAGCAGCTCCAAAGTTTTCCTGATTTATGGTTCCTTTATTTCCCTGAATTTAGCCTTTCTCATCTTTTGACATTATCAGGCTCTTTTTTTTTTTAAATGTCTGCGGGTGATAAAAAAAAAAGAACATAAAGGTAAAATGCAATGTTCAATGGGTCCACAATGCTTAGGTTATTTACATATTTCATTTGTCTTCTTTGAGATTTGTTATATGGAGACATTAATATGTTTGGGCTATAAACAATGGTGGCCAGAAATTTTATTTGAATGCACACACAAGCAAAAATCCCCTGTTGGCAAATATCATTTGTAATATTCAATAATGAAGCAATTTCCAGATTTCATCCTAACAGCCTTACAAGCACTGCCTTGCCAATATGATGATCTGATATTATGAGGCTTATGAACTGAAAAGTCCTATATAATAGATGTGATTTTCACAAACCCTGTTCATTTAGCAATCAGTCTATTTAACAAAAATATTTTCCCTTTGGTGTCAGGTTTTTGTGTAGCGGGTATGCTATGTTGGCTGTTTCTGAAGAAGGGATCTGTTTTTCCAAATGTGCATTGTGTTTTGTGGTGGAATTTTAATATGACCCCAGCAGCACAGGATGGTGGGCCCTGAGTTCTGGTTCTAAGAACCACTCAGTGCCTGGGTGATTTACTAGAGGGCAAAAGTCAGAGCTAAGTATAGTAAAATGATAAATAAGCCAGGGTACTGCAGGTACAGGATCCAGGCAAATCCATCAGGGTGGGTGAAGGCCTAGGAAGGAAGCCAGGAGCAGGAGTTCCATTATAGTGAAGTCTGGTTTGACATAGGGGGATGAGTCCCTAGCAGTAGAGGGATAAGGTATCGGGCAGGGGAGGTAGAAGACTAGTAGGGCAAGAATACTATAATGAGAAGATTCAGATGTCACCCTGGTCTGGACTACTAGACTGGCCTATCATATGAGAAAGGCAGGTCTGACAAACTCAGTCTTGGCTCAAGCAGGAGGCTCTGACAATGAGCATCATAAACAAGAGTGATGATGGCTAAGAGCTTGTGCTGGTGAGCCTTTGATCCAGGTGGAGCAGGCATTTGGCTCTCAAAGCCAAGGGTCATGGCAGATGCTGAGAGCTCCAAAATTCTCAATGAAGATACACATTAGGAGCCCAGGCAAGCCTGAAGTCATGTAGGAGACAGGATCCCCACAGGCTTACAAGGTTAGGTACATGGCCTTTGGCCTGGCCATCCATAATGTCCTGTCCTGATAGAATCACTTTATGCTTAGCCCTGGCAAGATTTCAGAGGGTGAAGTCTGTCATGCACTTCTCTCTCCTTTCTTCTCTTAACTTCTTACCTATTTTATCACATCTTTACCAGCACACCTCAGTTAATTATATCACTAGTACTGGCCCCTAAATCTTAGAGGGAATTCTACTTTCAAAAGAACCTTAAAAGAACCTCTTGTTCTCCCCATCCCACATATCAAATTTGTCTCAACTGTGCTTCAGCCCTCTTTCAAATTCTTTGTTTGCTGTGTTTGCTAATAACAAGGTACCACAGATCCGGTGGCTTAAACAACAGTAATTTATTTTCTCACATTTGAAGAGGCTAGAAGTCTGAGAGGAAGGAGTCGGCAGGGTTGGATTCTTCTGAGGCTTCTCTCCTTGGCTTGTAGATGTCTGTGTTCTCCCTGGGTCCTCACATGGTCTTCCTTTCACATGTGTCTTTGTCCTAATCTCTTCCTATAAAAACACTGTCATGTTGGATTAGAGCCTACCCAAATGACCTGATTTAATCTTAATCTTTAAAGACCGTCTCCAAGTAAAATTATATTCTGAGGTACTAGAGTTCAGGGCTTCAACATATGAATTTGGGAAAGATACAATTCAGCCCATGACACTGTTCCATAAAGTATAGCTTGGTATACTATTCTTCCAGAGGTATTTTGATTCTAACAGAGGGTTTGTAGATTCATAGACTAGAAGGGATGTTAGAGGTCATCTGGTTAATCTTCAGCTTCAATTCTGTAAGTCAAAAGATGAAATTGCTACTGACAGCGTTCACAGACAATAGGATTTGATTGTTGAGTACATATTTTTTTCACTGATATTTTAGAAAAATTATGCATGGACAGGAATAGTTTTTCTACCCTCGCATATGTCTGTTTCTACTTACAATATTGCTTGATGCAGTATATAGAGTCACAGGTATTAAATTGCAAGATATGTGATCTTCCCACATTATTACTAGGATTACTTTTGTTGGATAGTTTAATGTAATGGGCCATGGTAACAATCTTTTTCTGTATTCCAGAGTTTCCCATGACACTTCTGGAAATAGGGTGAAAGGAGTGATTACATGACCCAGTCACAGTATCTTTTTCTATTGCCAACAGTGTGTGATTCAGGGAATGGGCATGGGACCCAAGCATGACCAGTTTGAGCCCTTCTCTGGGACTGTTGTGTGAGAGAAAAAGGTGTTCTCCCTTTTCTGGGGAGGTGGAGGTGCTCTGTATGTGGAAAGAGCTTGTCCACAGAAGAAGCAAGGGAGGAAGATGGGAAGAGACACTGAGAGACAAGAGATAGGAAGAGAGAACCTTCAGGAGACTGAGGTCCTCTCAGCTATGAGAGCTACTAGGTACCTACCCTCCGTCTCCATCTTTTTTTAACTTAAGCTAGTTTGTTGGGTTTCTACTACTTGCCACAACAACAATCACAAAAATTACTGCTTCACCACTCATTCAACTTAATCATAGTGCTTATTATATCCAGCCACTGTTAGTTAACCATGTTCATGGTCAACCATGACCTCTATAAATTAGAGGTTTAAAGCCATTTAGTTAATAATTTTGTCATTGACTCAGACATGAAGTGGAGGACATTAAAGATTGTTTTCTCAGTACCTGTTGGTGGTTTGATTCTGGGGTTCCTTGGTAATTCAGATTGAAGAATTGGGGTTTAATATTTGAGATACATGGCTTGAATATATACCAAATCATCTCAATGTTTCTAAACTGCTATGAAAGACTATCAGTCATTAATGACACTTATCTTGTATCTACTCTGTTTGCCAGGCACTTTGTTAGGTGGTGCTAAATCACCAAGTTGTCTATAAAATGCAGCAGTATCCAGCCTCTTGGCTAATGCATAGAGAAAATAGATTTCTATAGGCAGAAAATAGTTTAATCTGAATGTACCGAGATCAAATGAGCATTCAGATAAATGTGTGTAAGACCAAAATATTAACCTGAAATCATTAAAACAAGTATATGCTAACATTGGAACTTTAAAAGCAAAAACATAAATTCAGAAGAAAGCCGGTGTCAATGAATTTAATATTCCCAGGGAACCCAGAGGATCCAAAACATGTAGTCACATGTACTTTTTCTGAGGTAAGAATTTGAAGCCCACTCCCTGAAGGATGGTCACAAAGCAGGTGAACTTGGCCATCTGAACACAACTTCTGAATTCTCTGCTTAAAGTCACATGGTGACTCCTGTCACTTTTCCTAGTACAAAGTGGCCCAGAAAAGAGAAACACCCAGTAGAACAGAGGAGGGACAGAGAGAAGTGTAAGACTGACTGGTGTTACTCGGAAAGTGGATGTTTCAGAAGACAGCAGCATGTTGGCTTTGGAGAGACTCTCATTGATAAAGCAATAGCCAAGTCTAGGTTGTTTTCTGAAACAGGAGTGATTCTTAAAACTGTGTTAAGGAATACTCTTGCCTATGCCAGAGTTGCTTACCAGCAAAAAGACAAAACTTGAGTAAAGTTGAGAAGACATTGACCTTTGATGCGAAGATATGCTCAGGAAACACATGATTCTCAACAGTAATATGGCTCAAGAGAAATGTGTTTTAATTAGCATGCTTGAAGACTTCAGTACTTTGCTTATAGAGTCGTTAAACATTTGAAGGAGTCACTTAAATTTTTTAGGTATGATTTACTTCATTTTGTGAGAGAAGAAATATCCTAGAATAATATTTGCAAATGTGGAGACTCTTGCTAATGTTCAGGGTTTACTATGGTAGCAATGGCATGAATTTAAGTGTAAAGTCCCTTTCAATTAAATTAGATCTTCATGGCATAGGCCAGACAGAAAAAATCCTTCAAGGTACTGAAGCAGCTCTCACGGTATCTGCCCTAATGGCAAGAAAGAACTTCCCATGGTCTGCATTTGGAAGGGAGCAGAGCTGGAAAGAGAACCATCAGAAAGTGTAGGCTTTTCAAGGTACAGGTGGGGCCAGAGACCTGCTATTTCACAGCCAATAGGCAGTGGGTCCTGAGAGAGTGCTACTCAGTGGATTAGCTTCAAGTGAAGTAACAGACCTAATAGCATCATTATACGTTTGACCAGTAATTGGAATAGTCTTTTCTCTTAATTTACCAATTACCACAAAATCTCTATTTTGCCGAAGCACTCAGATACCACCGTTTAAGCTAATATGACTTGTTCCGGCGTTCTGTCTTACTCACGAGACAAATATGGTCCCTCCAGGTTTCTAAGGATAGACTGGAGCATGCTCATTCCTGACTGTGTGATCTCCAAACCCCCCAGTCTCCAGGAAACATGGCAGAGAGCCTGAGATTTAGGAGATTTGGGGTCTGGGCCCGCCTTGCCCCTTCCTAACTGTGTGACCTTAGCCAAGACACTTTATTCAATCTGAGCTCTCTATTTTCTCATC